AAAGGACAATTAACTCATGCTACTTCACGATCATGTTATTGTTCTAGCTCTTCAATTGATAGAGGGACGATTTTCATGAAAAGCCTCATGTCACTAGGAGAAATAGAATAAGCATTTTATCTAAAGCTATTTGTCATTATTGTAGTGATAAAGGACACATTAGGCCTAAATGCTGCATTAGGAACTTCCAAGTTCCAAATGGTAAAATAGAATAGATTCCTAAGTGTACCTCAACTAACCCAAAAGACCCATTATTTGGGGACCTAAATTTCCTATTTAATTGTCATAGGAAAGTCTTGTATCTGCGAAAATATTATGGTTTCTAGATAGCGGATGTTCGAGACTCATGAGGGAAGATGCTACCATGTTTATCAAGTTCGATGAGAATGAAAGTGTAACACCTCAAACAACTTTTTAAGATTACCGAATGACCCCACAAACCAACGCGAGTCTTTTCAGCATGCTTTATCCCTCACTCACATGTTTTCTGGAAAACTTCCAAAAAGGTCACCTATCCAAATACTAATCCAAGTCAAACACACTTAACTATGGAGTTTTTATTTGTTAGGCTACCGAAAAGAAGATGCATCTTGTTTTTGGTTGCCTAACAGATAAGAACTCCACAGTTAAGGAGGATTGACTTGGGTTAGTATTTGGATGGGTCACCTTCAGGGAAGTTTTCTGGAAAATGTGTAGTGAGAACAAAACATTCTGAAAAGACCTGTGTTGGTTTGTGGGGTCAGTCAATAATCCTGAAAGCAGTCTGAGGCATTACAAATGGTATCAGAGCCAAACCTCTCCCAGTATGATGTGGTTCGAGGACGAACCATACAAAAGCTGGTGGGCATATAACACTCGAGGCCGAAAATGGAGAGGAGTGGTCGTCACATCAGAATGAGAGGGATCCTGAGGTTTTGCAGGAAAGGGAGTGCATGTTTGAAGAAAGGCTTATAAGGATTGATATGTATTACATATACCATTAAGATGCATATTCTTTTTAGTGGCCTAACATATAAGAAATCCATAGTTAAGCATGCTTTATTTGGAGTATTATTTGGATGGGTAACCTTCTAGGAAGTTTCCCAGAAAACGTCTGAGTGAGGACAAAGTATGCTGAAAATATCTGTGTTGGTTTGTGGGGTCACTCGGTAATCTTGAAAGTAGTCTGAGGGGTTATAAAAAGCGGCCATGTCACATATAAGGACAACACAAGAGGTAAAATACCAAGAGAATGTATTGTGGGAAACCCCTCTATAATCACCATTGAAAATGTGCTTTTAGTTGAAGGGATTAAACATAACCTACTTAGCATTAGCCAATTATGCGACAAAGGATACACTGTTATTTTTATACTCTTAGTTGTTTAATTAAGCATAATCCTAGAAAAGATCTCATGTTTAAGGGTTGTATGATTGATAACATCTATATGCTTAATCTAGATGACGTGTCAATGAATGGAACTAAGTGTTTAGTAGCCAATGGTGAATAATCAGATAGGAAGCATACCTGAATTTTGAAGCTCGCGATGGTTTTCTCTCATTATCATTGCCGTTAAAGCCGCATCAGATGGACTTTGATCGATAAATTCTCTGAACTTTCTAATCGATGCTCTGTGGTTAACATACATTTCTTCTTCTAACTCTTGATACCGCTGTTAGAGTTATGGAATCCTTCAGAATTTCCGATTAAGACTCCAGTTGTATCTCTTCCCCTGATCTAACATTGAAACGAAGAAAGATTCGGGAAATTAAGGTTGAAACACATTCATCTACAGCGGGGCAATGTCAGAATCGATCGACAGATGAGACGGGGAGAGATAGAGATCAACGCTGCAGAGTGAGTAAAATGAGGTGTGAATCACGACGGTAGCACTATGTTGAAGGCGGAATCATTGATGAATTTGAGACGGTGGCAGAAGGTTAGTCACGCCGTTGAAGAAGGTTGAGGCCGATCGCTGCGCTGCATCGAGAGAGATGAAGAGCCACAATTGTAAACCCTTCCCAATTTACGGTTCTATTTTTACATTTTTTGTTAGTTGTTTTTTCTTTCAATAAATATAGTACAAAATTATGGATTGCATTAGATGGACCGAATCCCAAGCTTCTAAGCCCATCACCATTGTTTTTTTGAAAGCTTTTGCCTTGCCAAAAACAACTCTCTAGGCCTATTACACAGTTTTTTTAATGTTGTAAGCCTTGTGAATAAAAAAGGGACTTCTGGACTTTTCTGGTGGGCCTCAACTCCCAGTCTACTAGTTATACACCTTGAATCTTGGCTTGTACCCCCTGGACTCATCCTATTGCAATTTTTGTTTTTTAATTGATTTTGTTAATCGTTTCAATTTGTTTGAATTTTCTCCACATGATGAAAAATTGTAAAATTAATAAAAATTTGTTAGATTTTTTATTTGATTTTTAGGAATTAATTCATGATTATCCGATTACTCGAGACTTGTGATTTACTTTTGCTTGTCAAGATTTGAGCCTTATGCATGTTTATTATATGATATGCAGATATGCTTGAGTTTTCTATTGTGATTTATTTTCACATCGATGATGCTTCGACACTTATTTCGAGCATTAGATTTATGACTCTTTTCTCCGTGGCTTGGTGAAGCTTGCACGTAGTATTCTGGGTTTCTTAGCTTTTGATCACTTTGCTACAGATTGATATCTGTTTGGTACTTTCTGATTCAGGTTTATTTTTCCGCATCATTTACCGCTTTTCCTTGCCATGAGAAGTAGGAATAGAGATGCATGTTTTATCGCTTTTTAGATATCATGAGAAGTAGATAATAAAAAGCGTGCGCTCGAAGCCGCTGTTTAAAGTCCTTTATAAGGCATTCCACACCTGTTTGCTAATTGTGTTTGTTGATTATTTAAAGACCTATCTTGAAGTAAGCATTCTGCCATGTGTTTATATTTGTGCCCAAAGACCTCAAAGAGGCGTCCCATTCCCATTCCCCATTGTCAAGTCCTCAAAGAAGGCAAGCGGAGTAGGGTTCACAATCAACCCCCGCAATTTCAGTCCATGTCATCCTTAGCTCGCGTTGTACGCTGATGCTTTGAAGTGTGTTGTTCTCGTTATCGAGTCGGTCAGATGGAATACAGGGATCTGTAACTAATCCGCCATATTTTGTCTTGAGCTCACGTCTGACGATGTTGATGCTTCATGTTTGTTCGTATTGTCTTCTATCTCCTACCACGATTCTCGATATCTTGGTTAGGTGCTTAGTTGCCTTGGACATTCACTTCCCCTATTTTATACTTCTTGCCTTGGTTACACGATACCTTAGTTAAGAGTAGCTTTCATGATCCCTTCTTGCCTATATGAGATATCTATGGTCAGGAACTTCCCCCCTTTTACCTACCTCAATGATTTGATATCTTAGTTAGGCCTTTTGACTTGAGCTAGCGTGCGCTATTCATGATAGGAGTGTGCTCTTTTGAGCTTGCTGATTGCTTGTTTGCTTTTCATCATTGTATATACCATGTTCCCTTAGGTTTTGAACCTTTGTATGCTCCATAGGATTCACTTGTTTCGTTTCCGATGCAAGTTAGACATTAAGATTGTTATCCGTGCATGCTAACATAGGTAGATATTTCCCTTTCAAACTCAACCTTAGGACCATCATTGTATGATAACATTAGGGATAGATTTAGATAGTCTCCTTTAGTTGTTTTTCTTTTTTTTGGAATCCTTAAAACTGAAACCCTTTTCTTGGAAAATGCATAAAACATCTAACAACTTTCAAATCCCATTTCAAGGTAAAAAACATCAACCAATGCAATCTCTTTTCGCCTTCGGGCCTTTTCTTTTAAACTTTCAAATGAACATGTTAATTCATTTTTGTGCCAACGCGTGAGTCTCCAAAGGTCGAGCTGCGGCAAAAAGTGAAATTAATATTGTTCATTAAAAAACACAAAACAAACCGAAACATGTGAGCCAAACTACAACGCTCTGATTCCTTAAAAAGGATATGTATGCATCTGGTCATGGAGCTCAGCCGAGCGAAGCTTTGTAAATATTTCATTCTTTTTCCCGTATTTTCTTTTGCATGCATTCCCTCTTTGCATTTCTTCCTTAGCTCTTAAGATTTAGATTTGAACACACCCTTTGATTAGAACAACAAGAGTGGATTTCGTAGAGTACTATGAACGTATAGGGTGCTAATACCTTCCATTCGCGTATCAGACCCCCTTACCCGTCTCTCTCGGTCGTTCGACCTTAATTTCACCCTTTACAAGTTTACTCGATGTTTACCTTTCCCTTTCTGTGGGATAAAAACGTTCAATGATGACTTCATTGATTTCATCTCAATGATTTGTTCAGCCGATTTTTTCATATATACAGAGAATGCGCTAAACCGAGGTAACAAATTTCAAATTCAATTTCATTTCACTCTTCTTCTTCACATACTGACTCGAGCATTTGAATTCCAACTTTGTAGATCTCCATTCGACCACACCAGAAATTATAATCCACCATCACCATTGTCTTTCTCTCATTTATGATTTTAGAACGGAACAATACCTATATCCACAAAAACTAAAAAAAAAACTGAATGCTCACCAAATTCTGCGACGACCGAGAGTATTCACATTTATTTATTTACTTACTCTACTTTAGTTATACAAATGTTTTTTTTTACTCTAGTTAGAAAAGTTTTATGATATAAAATTTTGTAGAAAAATGATTTTTTATTTTTTAGAAATTGATAAAATGGTTAATATAATTGAAGTTTTTTCGAAAAAAGATAACTAAAATAAATACTAGTATAAAAGAAAACCGTGATCATCCCCATGAAGTGAAGAGTACCTACAGGCTACAACACCTAACTATTTCCGAATCAGAACTCAAACAAAGCATACACCACCACTTCTCCCCCAATTCTCCGATTCCACATCTCAATCGCTCGCGAAGTGGCTCTCAAATCGGAAACTCTATAAGCATTTCACACTTTCTCCGTTCAATTTTGCGAATCAGTGTCGAAACTAAAAATGCAAAGTTGGTTTTCGGGATCCAGTGAGGACGATCTGAAGCCTTCGTCGTCTTTGCTCGCTGATTGGAACTCATACGCTTCTGCTCAAACCTCACAGGTTGATGATCCCTCCAATTTCCCTTTTGATATTGAATCGGCCGTTAGGTCTGCCAATGACACCGTTTCCGGAACTTTCAGCGTGTAAGTAACGCCTCTCACTACACTATACGATGATGTTTTTGGTTTTATTTAGCAATGTTGAATTTTAAGTGATATGAATGTGTATATGTAGTTGCTTATGTTATTATGGATTATGAAAAGTAGAATTTTTTGTCATGAGAGAATGTTGAACTGTTCTGGGTATGTAGATAACTTATTTTTGTTTTGGTTTTGTTGTTCTTTAATATTTTGCATTTTTAATTTTATGGATTGGTTCTTTTTTGTTTTGTTTTTTCGATTGATTAGAATGAATGATTAAATTAAGTCTTCCTTGAAAAAAATGAGGAGATGAGGTTGTAATGTTGGATGTGTGGTAAATTTAGATTGAATATGATCAGAAATGACAATTTTAGAGAGAGAGAGAGAGAGTTGGGATAACGCCTATGATAAGTTGGTGGTTTACGTATGTAGAGAGAAGACATGTAGTATGTGTAATATGGAGATTAGATTAGATGAAGGGTAGTCAAATCACTAGAAGGAGAGGAAGACCTAGATGAAGGTATCAAATAGTAGGAACTAAGAGGAATCTTCTTTTGATCAACCAACTAAGAATGGGAACTTTGTGGGGGAAGGAGTTAGTTTGTGGCATGGTAGGCTAGAACCCAAAAAAGATAGTTTCTCTATCTCTATTCACTCTTGATTAACAGCTTCTAGAACCTCTTGTAATCTTCCAACCATTTGGACTCCTTTATGCTTCTTTTGGGCCATTCCTTCTTCTGACTCGGCCCATCTTTCTTGTAAACCTCTTGGCCTTCACTTGAACTCGTATCAAATTTCTCTAGCTTACTCTTCTCATCTACCACTTTTATGTTCTCTCTCCTCAACTCACTTATAGTTGCCGAACTATTTTTCAATGTTTTCTTCAACTTCTTTTACTAAATAGAGCTGGTGAAAAGTACCTGGGTGGTGACCCAGGTTCAATTTTGGGTTGAATGTTCATGATATGGCCTGCATGTCAACTAGCAGATTTGGGGGAAAAAAAAACCAGAAGTAGCAGATTTGCTAGTCAACTAGCAGATTTGGGATGCTTGGAATGGGCCTGCATGTCCACTAGCAGATTTGCTAGTTGGCAACCCCAGGATCATGCAGATGAAATGTTGTTTAAGAGATCCTAATAAGTTCTTTTCTTTTCTGTCTACGTTATTCTTTAATTTTCTAAAATAAATTACCAAAAATGACTCGACCACCAACTCAGTCCCGCGGGACATTTATAACACAAGATTCAAACCCAACTGCCCATGATATTAGTAAGAATGGAATGGAAAGGCAAAAAAACTACTCTATATGGAGAAATGAAAGCTTTACCGATAGAAGCATTCATTCTAGGCAAATTAATTTTCCATCGAAATAGTTGAATTTATTTATGACCAAAAGTTTGTAAAATGAATTCCATATATTAGCTGCAGCAGCTGCTATTTGGCCACCACAGCCACTATGCAAAAAAGCAATGCAACAGAGTTTTCACACAGGGCCTAGAGGCTGCTATGCAATGCCGCTATTTACTACAAAAATACACAATTGAATTGGATTGTGTATTTTTTTATTTGTATTGATGGGCTGGATGGATAATAGATCATTTTGCCACCTCTAGTTTGTGTGTACCCCTGTTTCATCTGTTAATTCTCCAGCTTTCTCTTATAAGTTATAACTTGCCTTTTGTTATAAATTTCTATTTTATAATGTGAATTGGTGCGAGTAAGAACAAAAGGGGATTATATGAATGCGTTAGAAAAAGATGAAGGTCATAGGAGCTTGGTTGGTAGTATTGATCTAAAAGATTGGATCTTGTCGGGAAGCCATATGGATATGAGAACGAAGCAAACACGCTAAGAAACATGTTCAGTAGGCTACCCACATAGTCATGGGTTCCATGTGTATATTTGTACATTTAGAAGTTGACTAAGTTAGACCTATGTCCCATAGGCATCACGAACCTGATTAAGCAAGCATGCTTGTTGCACATCATGCTTTCTCGAAGGTTGCTAATTGTTTTCAGTTACAGGTAGTTGGTAACTTGGTAGTTACTTTCTGTTGTAGTAACATAACACTAGTTCTTTGTAATTGGTTGGACATCCAAAAATGAAGAGATTTTATTAAAAATAGAAACAAAGTTGTAAGCTTTGGATACGTACCACGAGTTGTAAGATTCTATAAAATTTATAAAACTCATATATATGCACAAATCCATACGTATGCATATTTGATATATTGATAGGGATTTCTGAACGCTCGAATGAGTAACTCACTACAATAACATCTATCTATATAAGTTCAATTTACAAGATAAATCAAAACTAGAGTTGCTTTCTAAGGCACAGTGAATCTAAAAATGCAATGAACCCTATGATATAATGAATTCTAATTATACTTGGATAGTGAAATATTAATTATATTCTATTTCCGAAAAAGTTAATTTAGATAATCTATTTGAGGACTAGGTGTATACGTCATGGTATTTTGTACTAGCTGAAGTTGTTTTGTTTGGGAGTCGTGTATGACTTTTTTTATTGACTTTGTTATGCTTATGTATTTAAATTTAATTAATTATTTGAAGTCTGATTTAAAGGTTTTTATTTCTCTCTTTTTTTATGACATTATATATGTAGTCATAGGTGCATATATGAGTTTCTATAACTTAGTAGAATCTTACCGTTCATAGGTCCTTGCTCTTTTTTAGAAGCAAATAAGTTGAGGGGATTGTTTCCCATCTCAACTGAAACATCCCTTGCCTCCTCTTGACCTTGACACACTAGTTGTTGTAGTTCCTGGTTACTTTGTTTGCCTTCTTTCTCTTGTTACAAGCTCCTAGAGCATGGTTTGAGACATTGGGGTCTGCCATAGTTCTGGCTTCAAATCTATCAAACAATCTTTTGTTGTCCGCTCTCTATGGTCTTGACATTCTCTATTTTGATGTTGTACATGTGAATGACATCACTTTGACAAGCAGTCTAATCTAATCCAGCAGTTTATTGCAAGGTTAAGATCAAATTCTAATACCAAGCAATAACTTCTGTCGGTTCAACCCTCATAGTTATACACTTGTATGTTCCATTTTTATTTGTATAGTATAGAGTTGACTCAGGCAGCTAATCCCTATTACTCTCCTCAGCGGAAAAACATTTAGTTGTGTGTTCCTATGCTTTGATACATTCAGGGGTTGACTCAGCTAGACCTTATTACTGTCCCCTGGGAAGCAAAGATGTCATGCAATAACTTTAGTGGGCTCAAGCCGCTCAATTCTTCATTGATGTGTTCCAATGTGTACGGTTAGGGATGACCCATAACTTCATCACTTTCTGTTATTATGTGGCAACTAGTAATAATCTATTCTTTCCCACCTTGGCCAAACCTAAATCTCTGCAAGCTGTTCATACACTGTTGTTCTTATATTTGTGAATAGCTTAGAGGTAAGATGCTAAGTTATGATTATTTTCATTTTTAAGCGGTATTCAGAGCTATGGTTGAGATTCTATTTCTGATTGCAAGTTTGTAGTGGGTAAAATCATTCACGTCTTGGATGATATTACTCTAACTTCAGTTTTGTTTTTCTTCTTGGTGACTATTATGTTTTCACACCATGGAAGCAATCATATTCATAAACCAGGGCTTGAACTTTTTATTTCTGTTTCTCGGTGTCATTAATTATTTGCTGTCTACACATGCAAAGTGATGTACAGACTGGTTACAAGTTTCTGAAACAATTGCTTGTGGATAAATTGTCCGTTCTGTCTGCCTTATCTGAATGTGACAGGCCGTTGTTATTTTTCTTCAGTTTCTTTACTTGAATGTATAATATTGTTGCATAAAAGAATAGATGGTGGGTATTTGCAATATCTCTTGTATTAATATTTTCACAATGGATTTTCTACATCTCGGTGAAAGAACATGCTGAATAGTTATGCCCGAACTTGTTTTCAAATAGTTATTCAATCTGTCTTATTGTTTAGGGTTTCCAAAGGTGTGAGAGAACTACCTGGCAGCTTCCAGTCTGCAACTAGTAGTGTTCCTTCGGGTAAAGCACTAGTGTATTTTGGTTTGTTACTGGCAAGTGGGGTCTTCTTTGTTTTCATAGCATTTACGTTGTTCCTGCCTGTCATGGTGGTTATGCCCCAAAAGTTTGCTATATGCTTTACTCTTGGATGTGGATTTATTATTGGATCATTCTTTGCTCTTAAGGGTCCAAAGAATCAGCTTGCTCACATGTTGTCAAAGGAGGTAACGAGAATTTAGCTTTCTATTCCTTGCATGGAAAGTAAAAAAAAAAAACTTGATCAGTTGCTTCAGTTTGAGTTTTTGAACTTTCAAAAAAGTTTAGTCTATTTTGATTTGGTTGCTCATGCTTTTTCCTACTTTCTAATTGTCTTTTTGCAATTATTTTTCAGAGGCTCCCTTTTACATTGATCTTTTTAGGCAGTATGATAGGTACCATATATGTATCAATGGTGCGCCACAGCTACGTTCTTTCTGTGGTATTCTCTGTAGTACAGGTAACAGTTCCTTGTAGTCTTAAAATGATCATTTGTAGCTTTGCTCTTCAGCATGCATGTGTTGTCTGCATTTAATGTTGATTATAGTATACCCGAGATTTTTGACCTATTCATCGTAACAAAACCAATATAATTTCAAACGCTGCTATTTCTACATTCCCGGCTGGTGGCTTTATGTGATGGTTGTCCTGTGTTTTTAACATGCTTCCAGCAAATGGGGTGTGGGAATTGGTCTTCTTTACAGATTTTTTGTATGTACTATTTAGATTTTTCTTTCTAAAACTATAGTCTTGCAATAAAATGAAATTGTCTATAATTGTAGGTTCTCTCACTTGGGTACTACGCTGTATCATACTTTCCCGGTGGATCTGCTGGAATGACATTTCTGACTTCTGCTCTTACCTCCTCAGTAATGAGATGCTTTGGGAGGTGACCTATTTTTGGTTAATAGGAGTTGAGGTCAGATATTTCTCTATATAGTAGTTGGCTTGTACATTTTGTCAACTAAAAGATCTGTCAGCTGAAACCAAATTGACCCAAGATTATTGCCGAGTTGAGGCATCATCTAACATTTTCTTATAGTTCGATGTTTGTTGCCACTTGCCAAATCAGAGTGAAAAAATTGATTAGCCTCTTAGACTCAACTTTCTTAATGCATATTGTCTGATTTTTTTAGTAAACTGTTGTATTTTTACAGATCTCTTGTTCAAAATATATATTTTTTAAATGAGATTATAAGTACGGCTTTAAATCATGGAATATATTGAGGGATATGCTAAGTAAGATCCTCTGTGACGCGAGAGAAATAATATTGAATATTCAAGTATACATGAATGTTCTACAATACTAGATTATTTTTCTCACTAGAATATGCTCTTGCCTACTGAGTTTTCTCACTAGAATATTTTGTATTATTAACTCAAGTGATTGTGCCCCTTTGGGTGACAATATGCTATATCTCACTTATATGTATGGCAAGGCACCCTTGTAGATCCCTTAGTGGGTGTTGTTCTTTATTTTGATGCCTTTGCAAAGTTCCAAATGATACGGCACATTGTTTCTATTGACTTCAATGCAGCTCCTGGAGGGGAACAAGAACAAATTTATTGCAAAGATGGACAAAATAAAGAGAGAACTAGTTTTTTTTTGTCTTAATATATGTTTGTGCAATTTTGATTCCTCAAGTATTCATCGTGTTACAATCAAGTCCCCTTTCGTCGCCAGGCTGTTCAACTTTTTAAGCCAGTATTTTACATGACATGTGTGTCTTCTTTATCATTGGCATAGGCAAGCTTGACAATGTTGTCAAGTCACAAGATATTAGTATTCATCTGCATCAAAAACCACTTATTCTACCACGAACCACTACTATCGGTGGTCCACGTACTATCGGTGGTCCACGATGGACCATAATTTACAACTTTGAATTAAGCTATTGTTTGCAGCCTTTTGGTGGCCAGCCTTCTCTCCTGCAACCCGTGACCATTGCTTCTGTCTATTGTGAAATGCATGGGTGGCAAATTCATGCATGTCCTAAAGCAAGTGCGAAGGTTGGTATTCCACTCCTCTGCACTATTTTAGATTCATCTTCAAATAAAAATGTCCATAATACTCCCAGCTTCAACTTATTGTACCATCAAGGCTTTAACTAGACACTAAAGAGACAGAACCTGCAATTACCGACTCAGAAGGGTCGTCATACTTGTGTATGCACTTGCCGAAGTATGCCTCTATCTGCGTCATATTTTGCAGGTTCTTGATGAAGAAATGAGAGATTGCTTTCAAATTTGATGGTGTGGATGAGGGTGAGAGAAAGGTTGAAAAGGACTGAGTTGTGGATGAGGGTGAGAGAAAGGTTAAAAATGAGCCGAGTCAAACTCGCATGTGCTCGACTCTATACAAATTGTTTCAGTTTGAAATTTGATTCGAATTCATTATGCGTTTCTAGTTTACGACCAACAGTTTATTAGGTTCAATTTGTTTCTTTGAATCAGATAACTTCAAAGCCAATTTTTTGGGATCTTTGATATGTTAATTTTTTTTAAAAGGCAAAAGTTGAATTATAATAAAAGCTTTATGCATAAAGGATAGACACAAAAACAAATTAAGCATGACAATAAAATCTAAACTGTGTTCGAAAATCAGACCCACTTGATTCACAATTTTCTTTGGAAATTTCTTTTCTTTTCCTACTCTTATGATTTGGTTAACACTTCTGAAAATATGAAATTGTTCTTATATTTTTCCGTAAATGTATATTCCAACGCATTTTATATAACCTCATACTTTTTAAATTGAGCATCTATTTTATTTTTACTACAATTAATTTGGAGATGTATCTCCGAGTTAATATTTTAGTGCATTTTTAGCTATTTTAACACAATCATTCTATTATCAAATAATCAATTTGAAAATGTATCTTTGAATTAATTTTTTTGATGTATTTTTAGCTATTTTAATGCAATTATTCTATTTGGTCAAAAATTAATTTGGAGATGTATTTTCGAAAATATTCGTGAGTCTATTTTTATCTATTTTAACTCAATCATCTCATTTTTGCTAAAAATTAATTAGGAGATGTACTATTGAAAACATTTATGAATACATTTTTAACTATTTAAACGTCTATATTTCGTATATTACATGGTGTTTTCGGAAATGTATTTTCTATTATATTCATAAATTTTTTATCTACTATTTACATTTATTTTGTGTGAAAATTAAACATTCGAAGATATGTCTCCGAAAATTTGAGATATCTTTTACTTTTCGTCAAAAATTTGAAACAATCTATAAAGATAAAAAAAGTAACTGCCTTTTCTTTTTCTGTGCATTCAATACTTTTCAATCATTGGATCAAGATAAATTAGTCTAAATTTAAATATAAAATTTAATTTATATTAAATAAAAATATTTAATTTAAAAATTTCCAAACAAATTAAATTATATGTAGTTCAAATTTAACTTATTTGATTTATGAGTTAATTTTAACGAATTTATTATTGAGTCAAATTTTAAATTATTCAGTCATCCCAACAAGGAATCAGTGGTGAGTTAATAATAATTAAGGCATTCCTCTTCGCACTAGGGATGGCAAGCAGACTCAAACCCGCGGGTCCCACCCGCACCCGTACTCGAGTCAACGGGTGAAACTCGAATTGACTGGGTTTGGGTTCGGGTTCGTGTGCCACCCGATATTTCGGGTGTGGGTTTGGGATAGCTTAAACTCGCACCCGAAACCCGAAACCACACCCGCTTATATGTTAAATTACAAAACTATCCCTAAATATATATATTTCAATAATTAAAAATAAAATGTAGGGTTTATTGTTCACTTGCACCACCTACCACCACCAATGTGCGACATCCTCCGGTGACACTCCTTGCTCCGGCTAACAACCGTATCTCTTTGATCCTCCCTCCGCCTGTGCGCCTCCTCTCTTCTGACCGGTAATCACTCCGATCTCTTCTCACCGTGCCCTTCCTCTTCCTTCGCGCGATCCTCCATCCACGATCTCTTCTCCTCCGGCTGTCCTCTCACCGTGCCCTTCCTCTTCTCCGGACAACATCATTACTTTTCCTCTTCATCTTCTTCTAGTGTTCAAAGAGGTAACATAACATCAAACTCCATTGTTTTTGAGCTTTTATGCTTTGATTTTTTACGAAGTTGAGCAATTGGATTGTGAATAGATTAATCTAATAGGAATTAACATGCTTTACATAGTTCTAGAATTAACCCACACTCAATCAATACCAACTTTTGGTTAGTTAAGATGACGTTACATAGTTCTATAATCTAGTGTGTATGCATATGGAGTTCAAATGGATGTTGCTTCTTGCGGATCTTCTGATTGTTTTTCAAATCAGAACTAATGGATTTGCGAATGAAATATATATATTTATATTTACATCAAGCATGTGAGTTTAATTCTTCTTCCTATCATCTGGGTCCTTTTTTTTCTTTCAGGCACGAGCAAAACACGACATCATAAATACTGCTATTGCTGGATGTACTACTGGAGGTGTTATATCAGCAAAAGGTAACCCTCTTTTTCATTCATTTTCTGTCGCATTATATTTTTGTCTCTCAGCCTATATTTAAGAAATGACGGGAACATGGCCCGACATGCCTACTATGAGGTGTGAGAGCAAAAAATATTTCCCATAAAAAACTATTGCCAAATGACCAGAAGTGACTAGCCTAATGATTTCTTATTTTTGGGTGATAAGGACTTTGTAATGGACAGCCACTGAAACTAAATTTTAGCTGAATGCTAGAGTATACTTTTGGTTGTTGTGCACGAACACTCTAAGTTCTGTAATTCTGTTTGGCAAAATGATAAACTAAAAGCAAGGTTGAGTTTATAGTCTGTCTTTCACCCTAGTCTAATCCAAAATTTACCGAAGATTGAGAAGGAGAGTTAAAGATTGTAAATCATAGGATAGTAACACGGATCATATAATCCTACTAAATTCATGAAACTCATCTATCTACATATTTGCATTTAAATCCATTTACAAGTAAGATTGTCGATTCCACTTAATCCTAACATATTGCGATTCGGCCTGTTATTGGGAATTTGGTATCGTCCAAGTCATGAAAATTAATGTGTCGTCATGGTGTGGGGGGTTTCTTCATATGGTGTTGGGATGGTTAGGAATTTAGAATGAAGAGTATTTATAGGAGTGACTAACCGCAATAAACTGCTTCTTTTCACCTTACGCATTGATTTCAGAACTCCTCTTGAAAGATGACCTCCTAACTCCGCCATCGATTTCTGTTTCATAACCTTACACCTAACTTTCTTGTTCGAATGAGGAATTGAACACGCCACTGCAGAATCCGAAAGCTTGGCACACTCCTCCTCCCTCTCAACAATTACCTTAGAACCACCCTTGACGTTGCAAACCGCTTCATCAAACGACACAATATCTCTCAAAACAGCATTCAAGCAAACATTCGGGAGCTCCTGATGCCCTACAGTTCCAACCTGACCACTAATTCTAGACTCAAATTCAGCAGAACCAACATGATTTAAATATTCCTCAATATTGTCCGTATCTTCTATATTAACAGAGGCATCAAGATCCTCAAAACCATCCAACGACCAACCAACATTAAGATCCAAAGATCCTGAACCAGTAACTTCTGCAAAAAGAAATGAATAGAGAGCGTTGTCTTAATCAATGCACCTGTGATATTCCAAGAGATTTAGATTTTAGGCATTTAAAAAGATTGATAGCGAAAAATGCAAAACAGCAGAAAGCTTACCAATGTAACCGAGAGTGAGCGGTAAGACACTAAGTGTACAGGGAGAAAGGCTAGTTAGAAGGCCTGCCCCATAAATGACAGCGAAACTGTAAAGAGGAATAAGAAGCAGATAAAAATGATGTTCGGAAAAGATAATGTTGAAAGGAAGTTATAGTGCACCT